ATTTTTACTTACTATAAAGCAATGTACATTCATTTAGAGAAAACAATTAAAAAACTGAAAAGCAAAACAAAATCTTTAACAAATCGAAGGATTTATACTTATATATTGTTTTTTCAATGAGGCCTTCTCTAATAACATTCTTTGAAACTATGTGCAACCCATTCTGAACTCCCAGTCTTCCTTCTCTCTCTTATTTTTCTTCATAGCATTTATAACCACCTGGTATTCATTCTTTTTTCTTCTTTTCTCTATTTTTTCTTTGCTTTCTTTCATGTATCAATCTATTGATATATTTCTTCTATTAAATGTCTAATCCATTAAATGTCTCTTATACCTCAAATTAAGCTCTATGAAACAACGTTTATATTTTGTTCAAGGCCCTGGAATAGTGGTGAATACAAAAGAGACACTCAGTGCATATTTGTTAAATGACCCTCAGTGAATATTTGTTAAATGATTAATCAAATGAATCTTATCTTTTTACCAGATTTAAATATATATACCATGTTAAAAATTTTCATAGGACTCTATCCATCTGATGTATGAGAATTAACTAGACCACATTTTTCTTTCATTTAGGACATTTTAAAGTTTTCATTACTAGTGTTCTTTGGCAAATTTCCTTAATGCTTAAATTTGGGGCATAGCGTTAATTATTTCCCTAGGGTAATCCCAGAAGTAGGATTTTGGGGTTAAATGGCATATATATTTGAAACATTCTGCCAGCCTGCCCTTGAGAATCACTGATATCAACTTATATTTCCACCACATTGTATGAGAGCCCTTGGTTTTCTACACTCGATATTTTCATTCACTTTCTTTTTAAATTTGCTGAGTATTTCCCTCCTCTCAATGTCTAAAACCAGGTCAATATGAGCAATAAAGTAATGTTTAAGCCCTCTTCCACTTAACAAAAATTTTACTTTACCTGAGCTGGATCAATCACAAAATCATTTACGTATCTGTGAATTAAAACTTGGTGCAGTAAGAGTATATTGCTTTATAATGTGATGCACCTCATTTAATAATCTCTTCATTAAATTTTTCTAATGTGTTTTCACTGGCTACGCAACATTTAATGGTCTAAGCTATACTGACTGCAAATATACTATTTCCCTCTTTAATTTAGACTAATGAAAATGAATTTTATCTTTCTTAAATATATGCAAAGAAAAGACTTCATTTATGAATAAAACAAAACTACTTCCATGCTGTTAATAAAAGTTCTAAAATATTTTGAAACAAATATATCACCATAAAATGTTGATCAATTGAATGAATGCCCTATAAGCTGATAAATCCCGTAAGACTATTATTCATTTATCAACCAAACTCATAACTCATAATATATCATTTATAACCTCATTTCTTAACACTTTAACTACAAATGTAAAATATCCAGTAATCAATTTTAATTTTCCAATTATTCTATTTATAGGTAGAAAGATAAAAATATACATTAAGTTCTATAAGGCAAACTACTGAATTTTTAGTAATGTCATGACTCAAGGAATGAAATATGCCTATCATGCTGTATAAATTGATTCCATTTTATAGTTTTATTTGTATGTATATGTATATACACACATAACAACACAAAATAATTTTATCTGACTTATAAAATATTTGATGTACAACCCAAAAAGGTCCTTCCCACTAGTATTAAGGTAAAATAAAATTACCAATGTTTAAATGACTAATAATATGATTAAAAATCTTTTTTTAAAGTTTTTATTTAAATTCAAGTTAGTTAGCATACAATATAATATTAGTTTTAGGTGTACAATTTAGTGATTCAACACTTACATACATCACCTGAAGCTCATCACTGACAGGTGCTCTCCTTAATCCCCAACACCTATTTAACCCATTCCCCACCCATCTTCCCTCTGGTAACCATCAATTTGCTCTCTATGGTTAAGAGTATGTTCCTTGGTTTTCATCCTTCTTTTTTTCCCCTATGATTGTTTCTTTTTTTTTTTTTAAAGATTTTATTTATTTATTTGACAGAAAGAGAGATAGCGAGAGAGGGAACACAAGCAGGGGGAGGGGGAGAGGGAAAAGCAGGCTTCCTACAGAGCAGGGAGCCCAACACGGGGCTCGATCCCAGGACCCTGAGATCACGACCTGAGCTGAAGGCAGTCGCTTAACCGACTGAGCCACCCAGGCACCCCCTATGATTGTTTCTTAAACTCCACATATGAGTGAAATCATATGGTATTTGCCTTTCTCTGACTGGCTCATTTCACTTAGCATAATACTCTAGCTCCATCCACATCCATGGCAAATGGCAAGATTTCATTCTTTTTTATGGCTAATATTCCACTGTGTGTGTGTGTGTGTGTGTACACAGTTTCTTTATCCATTCATCAGTCAATGGACATTTGGACTCTTTCCATAATTTGGCAACTATAAATAACATTGCTATAAACATCGGGTGCATGTATCCCTTTGAATTAGCGTTTTTGTATTCTTTGGGTAAATACCTAGTAATGCAATTGCTGGATTGTAGGGTAGTTATGTTTTTGACTTTTTGAGGAATCTCCATGCTATTTTCCAGAATGGCTGCATCAGTCTGCATTCCCATTAATAGTGTAAGAGGGTTTCCCTTTCTCCATATCGTCACCAACACCTGTTGTTTCTTGAAAAAAACACTTCTCTCTTAATTTAATTCTAAGATAGGATATGAAAGGATATCATTCATAGGATAAAAATTGACACAAAGCATATAACCAACAGAACTATTATCCCTGTATCTTTTGATTATATAACAATGATTTTTTTTTTAAAAAAATCACAAGACTTAACATACTAAGTTAGATGATATTCCCAGCAAAAGTTAGACGGTATTAAGAATTATAAACAGAAATGTGCTATTCCCACTTTAGAACAGAAAACCATATTACTATGTATATACTAAAAAGAATCAAGAATTCTTTGTCATATTCATTAGTAAAAAACCTAGCCTAAGTAAAAATCAATAAAAAATGAGGAATCTGTTTAGAGTTGATAATATCACACCTGAATATCTTTTCTTTGATTGGATCAGTGTAAGAGAATTAGGACAAATGGAAGTCAATTTTCAATTACCAGAATGAAGCACAGATATTAATTGAATTGGCCCTGGTCACCTACTGAATCTATATTCAAGACATGTTTTGGATGGTATACCTTAAATAGTAGATTAAATTTAAAAATATGAACAATTCTAATTACTACGATATCTGCACATGTCAGAGGAAATCAAATTTTATACCTCAGAGTATCAGGTAGTACCTTCAGAAATCCACTTTTTTCTAATGTATTTATTATAGACGCATGTGGGATTTCTGCTATCATTTCTTTGAATTATATGCTACTTTTAAGATGCAGGATGGCAAACCATGGCTTATTAGTTCAACCAGTGTAATAAACTCTTTTTGCTTAGCAAGCTGGCTACTCCACAGTTGTGCAGTGACTTTGACAATCACTATGTCTTTGACTTCCAAATAGTAACTCTCTTCATAATGAAGATATTCCTCTCCCAAATTCTTTCAGAAGCTAGTGTTGGCCTGACAAGAAGAAGAAATGTGTTTCATATTATAATAAGATTTTATACTTCTAAGGAGCTTCAGAGCTTTTGAAAATGACTTTGAAATACAGTCTTATTAATCTTTAATATTCTCATGAGAGCCAAGTAGGTGGCAAATATTTTCTGAATTTTGTAAAATAGAAACTAATATAACAATTAGTGAATTTACCGCCTTAGGCCAAGTACTGAAATGATGAAAAGTTGCGGTGCCAATCCTCGCACCTAACAGAAACTCCTATGCCTTCCAACCACAGTAATTTTTATGGAGAGAACAGTAAAGCCAGAGAGAAAAAAAATATTCTTCAGAAAATATGAAGTTCAACATAATTTACTTCAAGAGACCCTGAAATGGATATTTATTTATTATTTGATTGTGCTTGGTGATGGTGACCATGATAGTACCAGAACTTGAAACAACTAATTTCCCTGCACCCCTTCTGGGTGACCACATATTGAGTGTGGTCAGGGATACACTAAAGGTGTGTGCATTCTATTTCATAACAAAGCTAAAACCTGACAAAATCAGCAAGAGTATAGTAACTCAAGAGAAGAAAAAGAAAAGAAGAAAAGTTACATTTTGACTTATAACAGACCTTTAACTGGGCAATATACTTGATTATTGAAAGGCAATGAAAAACAAAGCAAGCCTGTATGGATCACAGGCTCTCAGTATTCTCATTTGCTGACGAGTTTTTCATCAGAAACTCTTGAACGAGTTTCTCCATTCTGTTTCATTTGTTTTTCTCTTCATATTCTCATAGAGTCATTACAACAGTTTGGTTGTTTACTAGCAATACGTTTCAAAATTACTGTTGAAAACTATCGTTCCTGTTTTCTATCTAGTTTTCCTGTGTGAAATAACACATTTAACTGATTTATCCTCATTACTAAGGAAAGCTATTGCATTCATTCTTTAGTCTAAGAACACTATTACTAGTAGCTGAATTAATCCCAATTTTAAAAATCAAAATTGCTTTTGGAATTTTAACCCCCCCCAATAAATGTTTATCTTTTTGCATGGATGTTTTCTTGATACTTGAGAAAAATTAAAATAATTTCATGAGAATAACACGATGTGTGTTTTGTATATGATTGATCTTACAAATCATAGTAAATTGCCTTTCTCCTTTAATGACTCTAGCATATTAAGAATTTGGGGGTTTTCCCTGATAGAAAATGACTTTACTAGCTTTAAGTTAAAACTGGTAAGATGGTCTTTGTTAAAATTAAGAGACATAAAACTCCAAACAAATCTTACAGTTGAAAAAAAAAAATCTAAAATCTTTCACTGAATGAACAGATATCTTTTTCATCCTGTACATTTAAAAGAGGCATGGTAAATATAAAGGTATGTTTAAAATTGTTTATTTTTATAACAGAAGCCTTAGATTTTTTTTCTCATAGCTTTAAAACAACAGTCTGTACTTACCTGGTCCATCAGTCATTTTCTCCAGACGCCGAGGAGTTGTACTAAGAAAGGAGGCATGTTTCAGTTTAGCCACAAAACTACGAGGTGGCATGTATTTATGTTGAACTTGGGACATCTCATATGATTTTTGAACATCATAGCTGCCAGGTGCTGGAATATCCTGAAAAGAATTTCAGTGGATGAGCATTAACATGTCTTACATGGAAAATATCTAAAACCATGTGGTATAGATGTTCACACTAAGCAATGGCATAAGTGGAAAAATATGAAAATTCTCTTAATCATTAAAAAAAGAAATTAAAAGACTATCCCTAAATTTATACCCTCCTTATAGGACTGTAAATTTGCATGTCAAAATTTAAGGTAAAATAAACAGAATTATGAAATTTAGGTCCATATTCTTAAAAAAAGTAGCTTTTGTATTATAGATCAAACTTTCATTTTCAAACTTCATAATGAAAATCAAATTTCATACAGGAATGAGAATAATTATTTGTTTTCATAAGAAGCAAAACTATCCCTGCTATACTGTTCTATGTGAGCACACTTTACTTATTCTACAAATGAGGCTGCTTATTTCATTTTTAATAGATTCCAATTAAGTTGAAAGGCTTCCCCTTTTATCATTTATGGCTGTTTATATGCTCTACAGTTATATTAACATTTTTAATCAACAGAAACCACATGGAAATTAATAACCATAATAATAATTCTAAACTCAATTAAATATAAAATATCATATATTTGTTGCACGATCAATGCCTGTAAACCATTAGCTAATTATTTCAATGAAAAAAATTTTAACTCATTCTCCTCAAATTATTTTAAAATATAACATATTCTATGTAACATATCTTTTCATCTCTATTATGTATAAAAACCAAACTTTTCAAGTTTTAATGTTTTTCTAGTAGGCAGGACACTCCTGTGGCTAATGGTGTAGACTCTAGCTCTAGACTTCTTGGGTTTCAAATATCTGCTCCTTACTTTTTAGGGACCCTAGGCAAGCCACTTAACCTCCGTGATTCTTAGTTTCCTCATTTGTAAGTGGAGAAAATACTAGTCTTTATATCATATCTCATAAGGGTTGTTATGATAATCAAATTAGTTAAAACAAGTAAAATACTTAGAACGATACCTAATTCCATAAAAGCATTAGATAATCTTACTATTCCACAAAAGTTAATATCAATGCAAAAAAACAATACTGAACTTCAGGGTTTGGGCTAATAAGGAAATATTTTAATGTTTCGAGTAAGTCAAACAAATTTGGATACTGAAAAATCATACTTTTAAAGTCCATTGAGGAGCCATACTTTATAAAACACACCTTCTCTTGTTTCTCATGCCCTTATTATCTCCTTCAAGCATATGACAACAACATTATCGTCTACTTCCAAAGAATCATTAATATGGTATGGGTACTAGGGGAGGAGATTCTTACATGAAACCCCACATTTCTGGTTTAAGTGCTGTGCCAAACACCAAATGCCATACTCGGTAAGTCAACTAATAAATGTCAGCAGTTGTTTTCTTCTTGCCCACATCAACAGAATATTTAGGAACGGTCGGCTGAAGATAAGCAGTAACAGTAGTAGCTGCATAGATGACTTCTGAATCTTTTGGGGCTACTTCTGTGGTATGTGAAAGGAAAGTGGGAGAGAGTGCCAAAGCATGAAGAAATCTTGAGTACACACAATATACTCAGAGTGTTTAGGAAAGCTTGGCAAAGATCTTGACTGTACCTACTACACATTTTAATTTTCTTATCTGAAGCTATTATAGTTACTGCCTCCTTAACACCCTGCCTGGTGTCACCACCTATTCCTTTTTCCAGTGCTTAGCCTATATATGATTGATGGCTTTGGCTACTGCCACACAGAAACCTTTTTTTTTTTTTTAATGCCTTGAAGCAAAGATAAGAAACTTCATCAGTGATCGGTTTTCTTAAAAAATAGTGTTCCCACCAAGGAAAATTCATCAAACTAGTTATCCTAAATTTCAATAGATTCACTGTGTCCTCTACCAAGTAAAGATATACTACCCTTGTTCATGATCATCTCTTCCTATAGCATAGCCATGCTTCTCTGAAAACATAGTCCCTGCTTTTGTCCTTTATCAATGCTTCTAAGCTCTTCCTACTCATCTTCAATTCTTATTTTGTCTGACCAAGAGACTGATATTTCAACTCAATTTCCTAGGCCAATGGTTATTAAGACAAATCTGAAATACTGTTTAAGAGCAATAATTTAAACAACACCTATAGATGGCACCCTAAACACCATTTCAGGAAAAAATTGTATGTAGAGGTAAGATCATCAAATCTCTGTGGGTGATCCTTTATACATCACAGAAAATAGGAAAGGCACATGATGAGTGGATATGATAGATATTTCTCATGCCTTTTTTTTTTAAACTTAGTTATTTGATCCTTATCCTGTGTTTAGAAAATTCCACATACTTCGCAGCAGAATCTGAGTCCTGCCACAAAAACTAAAAATGCCTGATTCGCATCCTCCGGGTCTAATTTTTTAGCTAGAACATGAATCTAGGTCATAGGCTTAAATGACAGCCTTTGAACTGGCAGCCAGTTATTCAAAGAAACACAGAGCATTAAAAATTCCATTCTAGTGAGGGGCTGGCAGGGCTAGAAGCTATGTCCAGCTCCCAGAGGCAAAAAGAGCAAGTAGAAACTGAGGGAAAATGTGATAAAATGTCTGATGAAATAAAAGCTATGCCTCAATGCAAATTAAAGGTAAATCTAAGGTGTCCTCATTTCACTGGAAAACCCAGGCCCTATCAAAAAATGACATAATCATAGAATTAAAATAATTGATGTATGTAAAATTATTAGAATGGTATCAGATGTATAACAAGAACTGGTGTTATTTCTATTAGGTGTGAAACTACGTGTAACCCTCAGTGATATCTTCCTTGCCTGGAGAGATGTCAACTGGCTCTTTAAAAGGAAAGCTTCTAGTATTTTAAGCCCTAAACAAACAACAACAACAATGAAAGGTAGTTAAGTTGTTGAGAATCACAGGAAGACAGTATTCCAGGCAGTTTAAAAAGAAAAAATCACTAGTTTTAACCAGCCTCAAAGGAAAGCAGGTCGCCCCATTTATGTTTTGGAAAAACCATTTCACATACTTTGTGATTTTATTCAATTCTGTCAACTTACAATCTCGGCAATGATGTAGAAGTATGGATATATCCATTCATACTAATCAAGGACGAACTTTCATAAAATCATTAGGTAGTTAAATTTGATTACTATTTTATGTGAGATGCATTTCCTTCTCTTTGCTATCCAAAAAGTAGACTTTTACTTTTGATGCCTGAGCTTCTCATGATCACCTTTGACATTGGTTTTATAGGAAAAAATGTATATCTCAGCAGATTAGAGTAAAACACATGAACAGAAATGGCCTATGTAACCTTTCTTTTCCTGTAAATGCTAATTCTACTGAGATAGGAAAAAAAAAATAAGATTATTGCCAGTTATAATAGCTCTAATTGACATGATATCATTTCTTCAGATTTTATCAACTCAATACAAATCCAGAAGTTAATTCTTCTGTAAGTTGAATGTGAAAAGAAAGTTAATGTAAGTGATTTTTTAAAAAGAACACAATTGTTCCTAGACCTGGCCAGACAGATTTGGATAAGGCATTAAAAATTATCTTGATAAACTTAGAAAACTTAAAAGAGGTAAATTTTGAATGTGATTTGTGAAGGATGTGTGAATGTGAATAGCAGAGTTGCAAAATTTTTCATTAGCCCTAGAGAAATGTCTACAAGTAAAATTCTTTTTTTTAAGATTTTATTTATTTGACAGAGAGAGAGCGAGAGAGGAAACACAAATAGGGGGAGCCCCATGCAGGGCTCCATCCCAGGACCCTAGGATCATGACCTGAGCCTAAGGCAGACGCTTAATGACTGAGCCACCCAGGCCCCACACAAGTAAAATTCTAATCAATTTGTTATGTTCAAACTTTTTGAAATAGTGTCATCTATTATGTTCAGTATGGCAAGAATTATCCCTTACATAAAAAGAAGGATCATTTTAAGGTAGTACTCCTGAAATACCACAAAACTTTAAGTCAGAATTGCTGGGTTATATTCACAGCCTTGTTTTTAGCCTCAAGCAGGCCTTGAAGAACCTTACTCACTCATCTAACTCCCTCTCACCATGATGTATGCTGAAGGTCATGTTCAGAAATATTTAGTGAGTCTCTATGCAGGAGATGTGTTTCTCCCTTCTCTTCTTCCTATGAGATTAACAGTGAGATGAGTCATAGAACTATTCATATTTGGAAGTTGCCTCTCCCACAGTAAGTTTTAAGAGAAAGCAGAATGATCTAGGCTTTCCTTCTGTAAACTATAAATATCTTAGCATTCCATTACCTACATCAAAAAATAATTATGATTATATGTAGACGGAGCAGAGTAGAGGCGATGACAGAGAGGAATAAACTATGAAAAAGAGAGGAGAGAAAGCAAGGTAATTATGACAAAGTAGGTATGCAATGACAGGAATTGAACATTGTCTACACAGAGAGATAAAGAGTTCTGGTAATGTTACCCATACACAAAAATAACTGTTTTCCATGTTATGGAACAGGGTTTATACATCTCAATAGCAAAAGGTAAATTGTGTATTTGAAATGAAGGAAACCAAATTATTCTCCCCTGATGTTCCTATAAATACCTTTTCTGAAAAATGAAATATATTTTAAAGATCCCATCTCGTTCCTTATTTATACTTCTTATATAGCACTAAAGAATTGTTCAAGTTAGTTTATATTTGGTGTCAAATTTAATAGCACATTTTTTAGTGACACTAAATGTTTCTTGATTGAACAGATAAAGAAACAAAACAAGCAGAATAAAATATTAGATGAAAAAGCTTCGAGGATCCTATCACTGTTTCCAAGAGTCATACATACAAAGGTTAAAGCCATCTAAAAACATCTAAAAAATATCTTAATTTCATGGGGAATCAAAAAAACAATCATCTAAAATAATGCTAATATCCTTATTTCTTCCTTTCCTTTCTTTTGAAAACTTTGCTTTATTGTTTCCCCTGTACTATAAACAAAAGCCTACTTAAGTGATACTGTTTTTAAATGCTGCACTATTTTAGTTCCAGTCTAACAA